AAACTGACTACTGCTACTGCCCTGATTAATAAAGTTCTTTGTCTCTGACCTAGGAGTCTTGTGTCTTTCTCCAACATCCATGAAACTGGTAGGATAACTTGTTAGCTTATAAGAAGGATAAAGTCTTAGATTTTTCACAGTAATATGTAAGCCACTCTTTTTAGAACTGAAAATGAGCCCTTCTACAAGTAACTCTTGGTAAATCTTCATCTAAATTAAACCCAAATCTGGAAAGTTACCTGGGTGAGGCTAGAATTCAGGTCCCTTATGACTATATACTATGTTCTCTTTCCCCCCTCTATTTTTTTCCCCACAAACCAAATTTATTCAAGTTAAAGGACTGTTATTCTGAGATTGCCCTTCTATCAAATGATGATGTTAACAGTGATCTCTTTCTTTTCCCAAAATAAAAGCATTGCTATCTTATGTGGATGAGCAACACTGACTAGCGCGTTTATTTGTTTATTTAAAGCTGAAGTTTTTAATGTATCTTGCCTTCAAAAGAGAAATGGGGTATTTGGGAGGGCTTTAAAAAAGTTGGTATAGCATGATACTTTTAATGATAAATAATTGTATAAATAATAAAACAACATGTTTGATAGTGATAAATGTTAAGGAAAAGAGGAGGACAGAACCGTATTGAAATTTTAGGTAATGTTGGTAGGGAAGGCCTCATTGATGTTACTTTTGAGTAAAGAACTGAACTAAGTAGGGAGACTTGCCACTCACCTATCTGGAGGGAAAGCATTCTGGGCAGAGGAAACAGCAAGTACAAAGGCTCTGTAGCAAAGTGTGCCTGGTGCAAGACTTTGAGGAGCCAGTTTGTAATGCTTTGAAGACATAGGTTGAGAGGATTATAGTGTTGCCCTTTGTCTTAGTTGTCTTTCTGTGCTTCAGTTGGAGCACTTGCTTTTATACTTATACTAGGGGTCCCTCAGCCTGGCCTGTGCCCTCTTGCAATCCGACATCCCTCGGGGATGTCTGACTGCCGGTTTCGGCCCGATCTCCGTAGGCCAGGCCAAGGGACCTCACCGGTGCACGAATCCATGCACCGGGCCTGTTTCGACGTGATCCCCGCAGGCTAGGCTGAGGGACCCCATCTGTGCACGACTTCATGCACCAGGCCTCTAGTATGCATACAAGATATTTGGTTAATCTCTTCCTGCCCTCCCCCCATCCCTCTTCCCTCTGAGATTCATCAGTCTGTTCCATGTTTCCATGCCTGTGCGTTGAGTGTCTACCCCCTGGTGGTCAGTGCACGTCATAGCTACTGGTCAAATGATCAGATGGTCGCTTAGGCTTTTATATGTATAGATATTAGTTACTTCTTCACTTGTGGAATAGGGTTTCTTTAAGATTTAGAAAACTACTGAATTTCATAACTTTTTTGCAGTATTCTCTAGTTTTCATTGACAGTCTTTGTAAGTGCCCATCTTTCAACATTTAATGTAAGTCCCACATCAGCATTTTTTCTTTTTAATTCAGCAGGTATTTGAAAATGGATTTAGACCTTATTTTATATGATTTATTTTTTAACTCCCACATGGATTCTATTCTATTTTTGTGAAGAAAAGAAGCTGAGGTAACCTGGAATAGTTAGAAAATAATCTAAGATAGCATACCAACTAAAACCTCTCTAGCCAAGGTCACTAATACCCTTTGTTACTAAATATAGAAGCTAGTTTTCCATTCTTTTTTACCTTGAGAAATTAACACCAAACCATTTCTCCCTTGAAATACCATACTATCCCTCTGGTTGTACCATTTCTGTATTAAGGATTCTTCTTTCCTTGGGTTTATGCCTTGACTACGTATGCTTCTCACTCTCCTTAATCTCTTTTGAAATTCTCATCTACTTTATGATTTCAGTTACTACCTATATGTTGTTGATTCTCATTAGAATTTCTAATCTACATTTCAATTTTGAGCTTTGAGCAGTTGTAATAAGTTGGCTTCTAACTCATCCATTTTGATAACCAATGGGTAAAGAAGATTCAGATATTTAAAGTAACTTTATATCTTTTCACCACAAAGAAAAAAAAACTTATTCTTCCTGTCTTTATTTTGGTAAATAGGATGCTTGTCCAGTTGATTAAGCTAGGATTTTTATATTGATGCCCACTAGTCAAACACCATCAGTAACACACCCCATAGGTAAACAAAGTTGGGTAAATTGATGCTTTCTGCAACATGGGAAGTCACATGCCATGAGGAACTATGGATTGTCACAGTAAGAACGTGCTGGATGGAGAATTGGGGCTTTTGTTAGGTAATTTTGGGGAGGATTCAAGGAAGTGGTTTGGGTTTGCTCTGGATTGGGTATTGTCAAGTAGTGGGAATAGTTCTATAATTGGGTATCTTTTTTTTAAAAAAAAGATATGTTTTAATTGATTTCAGAGAGAAGAAGGAAGAGGGAGAAAGATAGAAACATCAGTGATGAGAATCATTGATCAGCTGCTTCCTGCACACCCCCTACTGGGGATCGAGCACGCAACCCAGGCATGTGTCCTGACCGGGAATGGAACTGTGACCACCTGTTTTCATAGATTGGCACTCAACCACTGAGCCACACTGGCCGGGCTATGATTGAGTATCTTAATAAGTCTTATCTAGAAGGTGAGAAGAACAGGGTCAGGTTAAAACTGTAACTGGTAAAGAAGCAGTAGTCACAGTTAGCTGATATTTTTGTGTGTGTTTGTATGGTTGGACAGAGACCTTGCTTTTGCCTGTACTCTTACTCAAACAGACTTGGCTTTGCATCATGGTCATAGTGGACCTTCCTTATCTGATATTGGTGATCTGTGAGATTTGGTTTGATAGAAATACATTAGAGCCTAACTGTGCTAGGCCATCTCCTAGCTGTGAGAGGTTGCTTTTCTCTCTCACTTATTTGGGATAGGTGTAAAAGATTAGGTACCATTTGGCCAGCAGCAAGATGGATGAAGAATGTTTTGGACAGGATATATGAACAAAGAATTTATATGGTATTGAGTGCTTATATGTGAGAAGCAGTAAAAAAGCTTATTCTACTTGAAATATATCAGTAAGCTCCAGTGTTGTGTTGAGACAGAGATGCCTAGTTTGTTTATTCCTTACCAGGGAAGGATGGGTTAAAGGGTAGGGATATGTATCAATCACTTATGGAACTTTGTAAAGCTAAATGTTTTCATACTTACAATGTGCCAGGCACTAAGTACTTGTATGGTCTCTTGATCCATACTCCGGTAAATTGGGATAGAAATGAAGGATGCATATCTCTGATGTTGGTAATAAGAGCCAAACTGGAGATCCAATTGAGGCTAGTCATATAGACTGTAATGTTTAAGAGTGTGAGTTTCAGCAAAATAGTTTCGGTTTGAATCCTGGCCCCCTCCTCACAATTATTAGTTATATAACCTCGAGCAAGCTACTTAACCCCTTAGAATCACTTTATTTTACAAATTTAAATGTGCAATAATTATACCAGCCTCAGAGGGTCGGCAATACTTGGTAAGCACTCAGTATTCAACAGTTGCTGTTATGTACTTTACTTTCTTTTTTTTTTTTTTGAGTGAAAAAAGTCAAAAGTTTATTCTACTTAGTATAAGAATTTTTCATTAAATATATAGTAATTCATTTATCAGAAAACGATACCAGGAACTATGAGAAGTAGTTGCATTACACAATGACTATGACTAGAAAATCTCATGCAACTAAGCAGCTATGCTATATATACAGTATATAGCTCTTGTTCTGGGCTAATGTACATTTCAGTTTATTATAGAATTGCATTATGGGTGTTAGAAAGGCAGCAATAGTTATATTTTGGCTTTTCTTCTAGATACTTAAGTTAAGGCAGCAGTTCAAGCATATTAAGTGAAGGTAGTTAAAATTTAATGATAATTAATACAACTTGTATACACTGTTTACTGCTTTCTTATATACTTTTCTTTTACTGGCTATGTGATTTTGGACAAATCACAAAACTCCTCAGAGCCTCAGTTCTGACATAACTTTGCAGGATTGATATAAGGATTAAAAAGTATACATGGAAGCATTTTAGAAACAGAAAGTACTATAAAATATAATAAATATTAATGTCGAGTATGTTGTCTTTCAAGTATTTGAATTTACTTGACAGGTAAAGGACTATGGTTGGTTGTGATGTTTTGTGCCAGATTATACAGGATCTTGAATGTTAGGATGAGAAATTTAGATTTCATGCTGTGGGCTTTAGAAATTCAGCTGCTAGACAGACTTTAGATCAGGGCAATGAGATTGCAAAAATGATGGCATAGAAAACGTGGAAATGGAGGAGAACCTAGAGGTCCATCGACCAGATTTAGGAAACTGTTTCAAGCTAAATAATGGTGGTTTTGATTAGTGAAACTACAGTAGAAGTGAAAAATCTTAAGATATTTCTAGGGAATTAGTGCAATTTAGGTACAAGTTGAATGTGAGGGATATAGAAATAAGAACAATAAAGGGTTCTTGAAATTTAATTTTGGAAATGATTGGTTAAATTTGTTTAGGTATAAATGGTTAACAAGTTTGAAGAAATAGCCGTGTGACAGTGTACAAGATGACTAGAGACTTGGTTTCAGGTATTTATTTGGCTTTCTCCATAATGTAGGCCCAAATATGTAATGTGTGAAAAGAAGGCTTTTGGGAAAAGGTACAGGTTTCACTGGTAAACTAAAAAATTTGGCTTTAAGTTAAAATAAGTATAAGTTTGTTAGAAATATGATTAAAATCTGTTTGCTATGCTGCAATCAGGGGTTAGAAATTAATTTGAAATGCATCAAAATGAGAGATGAATAGAATCTCGATGGTGAGCACGTGGATATTCATTTTAAAACTCTTTCAACTTTCCTGTATGTTTAAAAGTTTTTTGTTTTTGTTTTTTATTTAAAAGTTTTAATAATAACACATTAGAGGAGAAGTGGAGATATAAACAGTTTGCTAAAGGCTAGTCTTGAGAATTTCTCTTCCCTGACCTGAGACTTTTGTTTTCTCTGTAGGAACTTTCCGCTGCACTTTTTGCAATACAGAGGTAGAAGAAGATGAATCAGCAATGCCCAAAAAAGATGCACGCACACTTTTGGCAAGGTTTAATGAACAAATTGAGCCCATTTATGCTTTGCTTCGGGAAACAGAGGATGTGAACTTGGCCTATGAAATACTTGAGCCAGAACCCACAGAAATACCAGCCCTGAAACAGAGGTGAGTATAGTCCCTGTGCTCTTACCAATAACACTTTAAGCTTGCTCTTGTTTTAACTACCTGTACTTTGAAGAGAAAGAGTGGGTAACTAATTTACTAGGAGACTAAAGACTAGTGTTTCATAGATTCCAAGCTCTGTCGCACTTGTCTTATTAACTTGTGCCTGTGATGAAGTTTGTTTGTAGTGAATACAGAAAAGTGTGGGCCTTAGGCAAAAATCTTTAAATAGTCAAGTTTGACTTCAACTACTCACTCTGCTTATTAGGCCTGCTGCAACTCAGGCAATTGTCAGCTAATCCTAAATTGGTAGTGCCTCTTGGGGATATTTGAATTTTCCTAGCCAAGTTCTGAAGGCTGAAGTTCTTTAAGGAATACAGCATTCACTTTTTTGTTTTTGAAGCACATTAACCACACCTTTCTTGACTGCCTCAGTTTTCAGTGCAACTTCCTTGAAAGTGAAGTAAAATATGTGTTTCCTGTGAGTTAGTACTTCTTACTATGGCTTCCTATTCTTTTGAGTGTCCTAATTGAATTGCAGATTCAGCCTTAGTTTTGCCATTCCATAAAAAGTGGCTTATATTCTTTGAAAAGCATACTAGTAAAAGGGAATTGGGGTCAGCGAGTGTTCTCCTATGCTACCTCTTTTCTTTTTCCTCCTAGTGTTAAACTAAGAGGAAAAAGCTAAGAGCGTAGCGTTTACTGTATACCCTTTCATAGGACACATTAGTCCAAATTGTAACTACAGTTTTTAAGAACACAATATAATACTATCTATGAATTATTCTTGTGTTTCTTCTTCTAACTATAGTTATTTTCCTGTTTATCAAGATATTCCCTGGGTTCAATAGTATTCATTCACCATCACCAATGGCGTCCTACCTCTAATGTTCCCCACTTACCACTGTCCACTTCCCATTCCAGATCTTTATTAGATGTCCGTTGCTTCATGCCAGCGACAAGTCTGAGTGGTGGTGACACCAGAGGCCCTAGCAACTCACTGTATCAAATAACCTGGCTTCTCATTAGGAATGGTGATGACTCCAGGGATGAAGAAAAATCAGGAAATAGAGCAAATAAACCGATCAAGAAAGAACCTATCCAACAGCCTGGTCACTAGGGAATAAAGGGTGAAATAGAGGCAGGCAAAAGAGATAGAATGGGGTACCTGGAGGTGCCAGCCAGAACTAAGTTCAAGAGAAAGACCATTGAGCGAGGTTACAAGGTGTTAACCTGGCTGAGATGGCCTTACTAAGCATTTGACAAGCTCCACTGCCTGGTTATAACATCCTGGAAGTGGTATTGATTTAGCCTTTCTATACTAAAAGATTTGTTTCAGAGCATAACAGATCTGCAATAGCCATCCTACCCCAAATATAAGAAAAGAAACCACAGTAGAGTGGAAAGGGAGTTCAGAGATGACAGTGATTCACTGATGATTTAAAAAGAAAATAAGTGGCATGATTGTTAGTTTGGTTACTGATCTGTAACCAATTAAATTCTAGCTTATCCCCAGATCAGGAGCCAGAAGCTGCCTCTGCAGAATTAGTAGACTTAACCCGAGAGCTGATGGACAGTTCCAGCTTTCCAGCAAGTCTTTCTTAAATGGAATTCCTTGCTCATAGCCTCTCCCTTTCCATCATCTCTTATTTAACACTCACCTTAAAGATCTTTAAAATTTTAGTTTGAAATAATATTCCTCCCACACTCCTGAGCAAGAGTTATATCTTTTAAAAGTTCTAAAATGTCTTAAATAATGTAAAAAGATTTAAAACTGAATTGTCCATTTTGTCATCTTTAAGTAAAATGTGTGTATTCTCTCCATAGAAGAAATTTAAATATGCAGAAGGAGTGAACCTATGTGTCTCTCATCTAGATTTTTAGTGTCACATTTGCTGATAATTTAGATTGGTCTGTATCTGTGGTGAAAGTAGAAATAAAATCTGTGTAGTCAACTCTCCATGGTTAAAAATATCATTTTAAAAATATTCTTCCAAATTTTAAAATTTGTTTGACTTGTGGTCAGATCTCTTCTGCTTCAAACTGGAATGAAACCAATCTTGATTTTCTATAATAGAGTTCTGAAAACAAGAGACTTATATAAGTATCCTTATACTAACATTTATATATTTTAATTGTTCTGTTCTTTTCCCCCACTTTTCTTGTTCTTCTCTACTCAAAGTACTAAATACTTATTGACCTTCAGAGTTAACGCTAAAGATAGAGCTTAGATGAAAGCTATGTGTTCAAGTTTATACAGAGAGAAATAGTAGCTTCAGGGAAAGTGAGTAAACCATTTAAGAATCTGCCCTGGCTGGTTTGGCTCAGGGGATAGAGTGTCAGCCTGCGGACTGAATGGTCCCGGGTTCGATTTCAGTCAAAGGCATTTTGCCTAGGTTGCGGGCTCAATCCCCAGTAGGGGGTATGCAGGAGACAGCCGATCAATGATTCCCTCTCATCATTGATGTTTCTATCTCTCTCTTCCTCTCCTTTCCTCTCTGAAATCAATAAAAATATAAAAAATAAAATAAAATAAGAGTCTGGATGAAGAAGGCACAGAAAAGGACAGAGGTGTAGTTGGCCAGGTCAGAGCTAGAGAAACATTTAATGTATGGAGAGAGACAAAAGGCACATGGCTAGTTCAGGGAGATACACTTGGGGGTAGACAGGCATATAGAGCAGGCTCAACACAACAAGGTAAGGATGTTGGCTGAGGACAGAAGAGATATTCTGGGTGAGAGAAGAGAGACTCAGGATGTAGAATAAGTACATAAACATAAACACAGATCAGGCCAAGGGAGAAGAGAAGAGAAAGAAAAGTGAGTGATTGAGGGAGACTAAAATTCAGAGAGCCAATTTACACCAGAGTAAGCAGAGTCAGATTATAGTGAGTGCAGTGACACAGCCTTTTAGAAGACATCGGAATAGGTAGAAGATGGTAAGAGAATGACTAGGGCCAGATAAGGATTAAATTGAGACAAACATAGTAAATAGTTCAAAAAATACCATGATGAATGCAGAAAGAAACCAGTTATTTGCAGTGTAGCATAAGACTTTAAAATGTAGCAAGACAAATAGATGCATTGGGTACAGAGAGACACCTACTAAGCCTAGACTCAGAGGGCAACAGCAAATAACTGGTACAAAGACTAGGGGAAAGAACAGTTTTTAAGCAGCTCTAGGTATAGCTAGAGGTAATAGCTGGCAGACGTGGATTAAATGACTGGGTCAGCTTGGATTGCACAACTGGAGAGAGTGCTTTTTTTTTTTTTTTATTAAGGTATTATGTATGTTTCCAAATCCCCCCCGCCATTCCCCTCACCTCACCCCACTCCCGTACATGCCCTCACCCTCCTGCTGTCTCTGTCCATTGGTTATGCTTATATGCATGCATACAAGTCTTTTGGTTGATCTCTCAGTGGCAGTGGGCCTTTAGGTACCCAGAAGGAGAACAGGAAGGATGGGATAGCCCAAGATTCCTCCAGAGTATTCCCAGAAGCACAGTGTTCTGAGGAAGAGAAATAAAGTAGGATCCAAGAGAAGGAAAAATAGTGAATGGTTTGTGAGAGAGAGAAGTGTTAGAAGACATAAAGACAAGTGAAGAAGTATTGCTTAGGCTCAAATTGAGATAGGACTCCACACAAAACAACAGTCCAGGTTCCATGGAAACATTTAGAGAAAAATGGAAGAGAAGTAAAGGAAAAACGTGGGGCCAAAAGAGTCAGTCAGAGGTAGAGAAAGATACATGAAAGACATACTAGTACCTGGGAGAGATTTTTGCCAATTAGTGTCTTTAAGTGGATTATGTCATCATAACATTCTCCCCTTTCCCTAAGTAGACTCATTGCAACATCTTCAACTATAAAACCTCAGTCATTCATATACCCCAGATTAACCTAGAGTGTGAAGAACTTAAATGTAAATATGATGTTCTAATAACTGAGGCATTTTTCACCCTGAGATATAAACGAGGTTTCTCAGCATTGTTAAAGCTTATATACATGATTGCTAGACAGGCAGCTGCCCTCCTTTTCCAACACCAAGATTTGAATATTTTTCTTCCTGTCCTCTAATCTTTTCATTCAGCAAAGACCGTGCAGCAACTACGGCTGGAGCTGCTGGCCTGTCAAGTGGGCACCACCGGGAAGCATGGGCTACCAAAGGCCCCTCCTATGAGGACTTATATACTCAGAATGTTGTCATTAACATGGATGACCAAGAAGATCTTCATCGAGCCTCACTGGAGGGGAAATCTGCCAAAGAGAGACCCATTTGGTTGAGAGAGAGCACTGTCCAAGGAGCATTTGGTTCTGAAGAGATGAAGGAAGGTAAGAGAAGTCATTAAAATGAGTATGTCTTGGGTTCAGTTGAAAATGAGTTTGACTTAGTGCGAAATTGCCTGGGCAATTCTTAGTTTTATTGGTAATCCACTATATCTGTGTTCCAAAATAATTGCATTGTAGCAGGAAGTAAGAAATTGAGCAATAAGCATTAAAACCAAATAATATACTTGCATTTTCCTTCAACTTAGTTGAAGAAACAAATAGACAGCTTTTAAGTCTGTCTATCTATCTATCTATCTATCTATCTATCTATCATCTATCTATCATCTATATTTTTAATTGAGGTAAAATTGGAATATAGCATGTGTTTCAGGTGTACAACATTATAATTCTATATCTGCACTACAAAGTGATCATCACCAAAGTCTAGTTATCATTCTTCACCATACAATTGAACCTCCTTTACCCATTTTGCCCACCCCTATCTGATGCTCTATCCACTGAGCCAAACCAGTTAGGGCTACACCACATCTCTTTATCCATTCATCCATTGATGAACAGTTAGATTGTCTCCATTTCTTAGCTATTATAAATAATGCTGCAGTGAACATAGGGGTGCATATGTCTTTTTGAATTAATATTTTTGTATTCTTTGGATAAATACCCAGAGTGGAATAGCTAATATATGGTAGTCCTATTTCTAATTTTTTGAGGAATCTCCATACTGTTTTCCATAGTGGCTAAACCAATTTACCTACAATATACAGCAAGCATGTCAGAATCACAGCGGCCTGCTGGCCGTGAGTTTAACATGCTTGATGTATAGGGTTCTCTTTTTCCACATTCCTTCTAATACCTGTTGCTTCTAGTCTTTTTGACAATAGCCATTCTAACAGGTGTGAGGTGATGTCTCATTGTGGTTTGGATTTGCATTTCCCTAATTATTAGTGAACTACAACATATTTTTTATTTGCCTGTTGGCCATCTATAGTATGTCTTTGGAAAAATGTCTGTTCAGTTCCTCTGACTATTTTTAGAAATCAGGTTGTTTGTTCTTTTGTTGTTGAGTTGTAGGAATTCTTCGTATATTTTGCATATTAATCTCGTCAGATATATGATTTGCAAATATCTTCTCCCATTTAGTAGGTTGCCTTTTCATTGTGATAATCATTTCCTCCACTGTGCAGAAGCTTTTTAGTTTGATGTTTACATTTGTTTTTACTTTTGTTTCTATTGCATTTGGAGTCCGGTCCATGAAAACATTGTTGATGTCATAGAGCTTACCATCTATGTTTTCTTCTAGAAAGTTTATGGTTTCAGGTCTTATGTTCAAATCTTTAACTCATTTTGACTTAGTTTTTGTGTATAGTGTAAGATAGTAGTCTAGTTTCATTTTTTTGCATGTGGGTGCCCAGTTTTCCCAGCACCATTGCTTGAAGAAACTTTTTTCTTCATTGTATGTTCTTAGCTCCTTTTCCATAAATTAATTGTCCATATCTGTGGACAATTTCTGGGCTCTGGATTCTGTTTAATTGATCTATGTCTGTTTTTATGCCAGTACTATATTGTTTTGATTACTATGGCTTTGTAATATAGTTTGAAATCACAGAGATAACTGATTCCTCCAGCTTTGTTCTTTGTCAAGATTGCTTTGGCTACTTGGGATTTTTTATGAGTTATTAAACTCAAATTTTAGAGTTATTTGCCCTAGTGAAAAATGCCATTGGAATTTTGATAGAGATGGCATTGAATATGTAGACTGCTTTGGATAGTATGGACATTCCAACAATATTAATTTGTCCATTCCATGAGTAGCAAATGTCTTATCATTTATTTATATCTTCTTCATTTATTTTATCAGTGTCATAGTTTTCAGTGTACAGGTTTTTCACCTCCTTGACTAAATTTATTCCTAAATATTTTATTCTTTTTGATGCAGTTGTAAATGGGATTATTTTCTTAATTTCTCTTTATGATAGTTTATTATTAGTGTATAAAAATGCTACCCATTTCTGTACATTGACTTTGTATACTGCATCTCTGCTGAGTTTATTTATTCTAATGTTTGTTTGTTTGGTGGAATCTAAAGGATTTTCTTTATATAATGTGGAGCAAAAATAGGTTTACAGTTGTTCATACGGAAAATAATAATTAATAAATAATACTACAGATAAACTCTGTGTTTCACATACTCACAACTGTAAATCTACTTTTGCCCCACACTGTATTACCATACTATCTGCTAATAGTGAAAGTTTTACTTCTTCCTTTTTTATTTGGATGCCTTTAATTTATTTTTCTTACCCAATTGCTGTGGCTAGGATTTCCAATAATATGTTGAATAAAAGTGGTGAGAGTGGTCATCCTTGTCTTGTTTCTGATCTTAGATGAAGAGCTTTCCAATCTTCACTGTTGAGTATGGTGTTAGTTGTAGGTTTGTTATACTAGTATATGGCCTTTGTTATGTTGAGGTATGTTCCCACTTTGTTGAGAGTTTTTATCATAAATAGATGTTGAATTTTGTCAGTTTCTTTTTCTGTATTTATTGAGATAAGATGATTTTTATCCTTTATTTTGTTTATGTAGATTATCACATTGATTGATTTGCACATGTTGAACCATCCTTGCATCCCTGGAATAAATCCCACTTGATCGTGGTGTACCATCCTTTAAATGTATTGTTGAATCAGTTTGGTAATATTTGGATGAAGATTTTTGCATCTATGTTTATTAAGAATATTGGCCTATAATTTTTTGTGGTGGTGGTGGTAGTATCCTTGTCTGGTTTCAATATTGGTAATGCTGACGTTATTAAATGAGTTTGGAAGCGTTCCCTCCTCTTAAATTTTTTTTCTCCAGTTTTTTGAAAGAGTTTAAAAAGAATATGTATCAAATCTTCTGTGATGTTTGATAGAATTCACTAGTGAAGCTATCTTTGTCCTGGACTTTTGTTTGTTGGGAAATTTTTGAGTACTGATTCAATCTCCTTACTAGTAATCAATCTATTCATGATTCAGTCTTGAAAGAATGTGTGTTTGTAGACATTTCTTCTGGATTGTTCAATTTGTTGGTATATAATTGTTTATACTAGTCTCTTAAGACCCTTTGTACTTCTGTAGTATTAGTTGTAACTTTTCTTTCTGATTTTGTTTATTTGTGTCTTCTCTGTTTTTTTCTGGGTTCATATAGTTAAAAGTTTGTCATTTTTTAATCTTTTCAAAGAACCAGCTCTTGGTTTCATTGATCTTTTAAAATTTCTTTTTAGTCTTCATTTAATTATTTCCACTCTGATCTTTCTTTATTATTTCCTTACTTCTGCTAACTTTCAGCTTTGTTTGTTCTTATTTTTCTAGTTCCTTAAAGTGTAAAGTTAGGTTGTTTGTTTGAGATTTTCTTCTTTCTTAAGGTAGGCCTTCTTGCTATGAAATTCCCTCTTAGAACTGCTTTTGCTACGTTCTGTAAATTTTGGTGTGTTGTATTTATGTTTTCATTTCTCTCTAGTTATTTTTATTCTTTGATTTTTGTGTGATAATCCGTTGACTATTTGGTAGCATATTGCTTAATCTCCACATTTTTGTGCTTTCTTCATTTTCTTTTTGTGATTGATTTCTAGTTTTATACCATTGTGGTTAGAGAAGATGCTTGATATGATTTCAATCTTCTTGAATTTATTAAAACTTGTTTTGTGACCTAATGTGATGTTCTGGAGAATATTCCAAGTGCACTTAAGAAGAACGTATATTCTGCTACTTTTAGATAGAGTGTTCTGTATATATCTATTAAGTCCATCTGATCTAATGTGTTGTTTAAGGTCAGTGTTTCCTTATTGATTTTCTATCTGGATGATTTATCCATTGAGGTAAGTGAGGTGTTAAAATCCCCTATTATTATTGTACTAGAGGCCCGATGCATGAAATTCGTGCAAGAGTAGGCCTTCTTTCCCCCAGCTGCCAGCACCAGCTTCCCTCTGGCACCTGGGACCCAGGCTTCCCTCACAGCCCCAGCTTCATCAGGAAGGTCATCCAGAAAGACATCTGGTCTAATTAGCATATTACGCTTTTTTATTATTGTACTAGAGGCCTAGTACATGAAAATTCGTGCGGGGGGCAGGGCGAGGTCCCCCAGCCCGGCCTGCTGCCCCCTCTCACAAGCCACAGTCTGGCATCCCTCTGCAGGAGGCGACCAGGCCAATCAGGGGAAGGCACCACCCCCGTCACCCCACTGCTGCTGCCACTGCCAGCCGCCGCAGCTGCCAGCCCTCCTCGTCCCTCGCAGCTGCCATGGCTTTGTCCAGAAGGACATCCAGAAGTCCGGTCTATCTGGTCTAATTAGCATATTACTCTTTTATTAGTATAGATTGCTGTTAATTTCACCCTTTTAGTCTTTTAATATTTGTTTCATATATTTTGTTGCTCATGTGCTGGGTGCATATACATTTATAAATGGTATATCTTTTTGCTGGAATGGCCTCTTTATCATTATGTAGTGCCCTTCTTCTTTTTTTTTTTTTTCAATCCTCACCCAAGTATATTTTTCCATTGATTTTTAGAGAGAGTGGAAGGGAGAGGGAAAGACAGAGAGAGAAATATCAATGTGAGAGAAACATACCAATTGGTTGCCTCCTACATGTGCCCTGACCAGGGCCCTGGCTGGGGAGGAGACTGCAACCGAGGTACATGCCCTGGACTGGCATTGAACCGAGGAAACCTTCGGTTCACAAGCCAATGCTCTATCCACTGAGCCAAACTGGCTAGGGCCTCTTCTTTGTCTTTTATTATAGTCTTTGTTTTAAAGTTTATTTTTCTGAAATGAGTATGCTACCTCAGCTTCTTTTCCTTTCTATTTCCATAGAATATCTTTTTTTTAAATTTCTTTATTTAATAAACATTTTATAAGAGTTTATTTGAGTCAAATGGAGGATATGCCTGGAAGCAAATCTCAACAGATAGTAATATACTTCCTGCATGGAATATCTTTCACCATCCCTTTACTTTCAATCTCTGTATGTACTTACTTCTGAATTGCCATGGTGCATGTCAGGGCTA